TGGCTCCGAACCCTAGCTCTCTCCAACTCAGCCATGAACTTTCTGATCTACTCTGCTAAAATCCCGGACTTCAAAGAGGCATACGTTTATATTTTTCGAAAGGCGCTCCGCCTGTAGAGGTCACGACTTTTACTACGGTTTCAAGAACTCAGAAAGTTTTAGGAAGCTGAACTTGTGAGCAGTCCTAATCATTATGAAAAAGAGTATTTTTTAGTGTTTTACCAACGTGAAGTCTCAGTACTTTCTGTCTGGCACTATCTGTTTCAAGGGAGAAGCCGGTCTCACAAACACGTTAGCAGTTCAAGAAACTGCACTCTGAAAATGAACCCACGTCAACCACGGGCACCAGACGAATTATTCTCTTTCGAAGTGTAAAATGTCTGCTTGAGGGAGTAAATGTTGCCCAAAAAGTTCGGAAGAAAGAAAAGAAAGACAGAAACGTTTCTAGGTGTTTGTTTTATTTCCGAGCCTTTTAGGAGCTGTTCTATTCTACAGTTCGCTACGATTTTCTGAAGTACTTTTTTCACCCTTTAATCACCACATTTGGCTATTATCTTGAGAAAGGACCCTAACGGTAAGCGGTCATTTCGACCCGGTTACTTAGCCCCCTTTTTTGGAGTCATTTAGCGCGCTCCAAATATAAATGTCCCTCGTTCTATAAGCCGTAAAGCAAAACAAGTAAGCTTCAAATACAGTATAATATTCCTCGTTCTAAAATAGGGAGCGGCTAAGTAACCGGAGCGAAATGATCGCAAAGCACCCTAACAGCATCCATAGGATTTTTGGGAAAGGATAGAAGAAGCCCTAATACACGTACTTAAGTTCCGAGAGCCGAAATTTGTTCTAACACGACTAAACAGTTAACTGAGAAACTTATGGGGCCCCTCAGAATGCATTAAAACCATTCTCGATAATAGGTTTTTAAAGCATGTTCAGTTGCGAGAAAACCGCGTCGTTGGGTGCTTATGGAAAAGGCTGGCCGGTATTGTTTAAGAATTATTTAGTGTTGGATTAAAAAAATATAGAAATAAACTAGAAATAAGTCTGTAATAAAGTGACCTTCGTGTTCACGGTACCTTTTAATGTACTATATGTATACATCACTTCTGGAATTGAATTCATGAGGACAGGAGCTGGATCATCTAGTAGTAAGGAACACTGACTTAAATGGATGATTTTTGGCCTGAACAATTCTGGCCGGGCTAACCCAGGCCTGTGTTCATGGAGATGTAAAGCAGTTAAAGAAATTCAAATAGGAGACGTCTGATTCAGGCTAAACTGACCATATTATGCCGTCAATTTAGAAGTTTCTGTAGGCGAATTGATCTTCTTCATAAGCGCCTTGACGTAACCGTCGTTTCTGGCCAAAGTGTGTAAAGCCTCTAAATCTATGGCAGGACAAGCTATTCGTGTTTCATGCATTCGAATTCAATTTTTTTTTTTTTTTATCTCGTAGATTTACTCTTCAAACATAGTTTAATAAATAAAAATGATATGATTTAGTGTTTTGTGTCTGTGTCTTTCTTTTCTTCCCTTTAGAAGGGAGATCAGAGATGGTCTCTCCGTTCGATTTTAAAAACAACAATAGTTTCAAGTGCGTCAAGCACGATTGAAACAGGAGTGTAGGTATCTAATTTGAAGTAATAGTCATAAGATTTTCCCGTGAGCATAAAAGAGAAGGGAGAGAGAGAAATGTTCCTTCTTCTTTGCAAGGGAAGTGTCCAGTTTCTTAGTATAGCGAAGTGTCCAGCTACAATCGGCAAAAAAAAAATTTATGAGGCACTTTGTCCTCAACGTCATTTCTCTCTATTTCCCGACACTACTGTCTACTGTTCAAAGACCATTCCCTCTTGCAAACACTAAGTAGAAAGCCCACCTCCCGCCCCCACCCTCCCTATAAAATATTGATGTTCTGTCCAAGCTAGGTATCATTTTGTCACTTACAATAGGCTATGTTCAAACTTTACCGGATCACGTTTTGTGGCGCTGCAGCTATCATGTATAGTATGAAAAGAAACGGTCCGGGGCGACACAAGTCGCTCACACAATTTTTTTTTTTTTTTTTTTTTTTTTTTT